CTAGCAATTAGGAAATCGTAGGCTCGAATCCCACCCGAGCAAGCTTGTGATTTTTATATGAGCGAGTAATGATCGAGTAATGATCGAGTAATGATCGAGTAATGGCGAGTAGGGTTGGCAAGGTAGTTCTTTCCTCGCCCTCCACCTCTGTGGTCCCGGGTTCGATTCCCGGCCCGGTCCACATGTGGATGGGGTTTTCATTCCCTACCTGACTCCGTGGGTTTTACCCAGAATTTTCGTCTGGGGTTTTCCTCCCACCTCTAAAACTGTAACTGCTTCTTACTGTCTCCCCTTTACTGATGTTGGTGAATGTGGGTCGTTTGGCGGCTGCCCGAGACACCCTTGTATGCCATCGGCTCCACCATGTTTAAATGCATTCATTGTTCCACGCTTAATGTCTTCATTGTACAGCGCATTTGAACATATCTATATGAAATTTTCGCTTTGTAAATGAATAAATTATTAAATCATTAACTATTCTGATCGTCAGGGAGTGTTTTTCCAAATTCCTACCGACAACTTGGAGCAATCTGTATAGGTTGTGTCACGCTGCTGTCTCTTCACCCGTGTGAATGTACATGTAAGTGTGCTTGTGTTGTTGGTAGGCCTACCAATGCAACCGTGACGCGTGCATTTCCTAGCCGTACGTGAACCAGCAAAGTTCAGCTCCGACCAAACGAGCCTCCATTGCTAAGAAAAAAAACACCCTCTCTGGCAACAAATATGCGCACGTATTTCCCTACAAAACAGTGAACCGATGAGAAGAGACGTTTGATTCCTCCCCAATAAAAAGTCTTAGCAAAGGCATCTTTTCACGCTTTGTTTGCATTTTTTATTTGAAGTGGAGCTATTTACGAAAAATCGTACGAAATCAAATTTGAAAGCTTATAAAGAGAAGTTTTGGGGAATCTCTTTTATTGTTGAGTGGTCACGTGACTCCGTCCATAAAAAGGACAATGACTGTGGTACACAAAATGTCAACGAGCACATATTTTCCTATCAGAATCAGAGTCCAAAGCTCCCTCTGCCCACATTGTTGAGTCACTTTTTAGCCCCTTGAAGTAAATCCTACCGTTCTTTTTTTTTTCTTCCAAATTTCTAAAAGGAATGAGCAGATACTTCAGAAAATTCCGGAGAACAAATCTTTTGAGATTTGGCCGGTCCACTTCCCCCACAGGGTTGTACTTGAAATTAATTGCTTTGGTACATCTATAACGGAATGTGAACAGCGATGAGGGTTACAAGTGTCGTACTACTGCAGATAGTACTGGGCAGCAGAAATACACGAAGGAATTCCAAGTAATATCGTTATGCGTGCACACTTTATTCGCAAATTAACTCTTATACGAGGAAACCGCTCCAAATACAAATACCACAGAACCTGACAATCATAGAAGTCACATTTCACACAATTGAAATCTCCTGAAAGGTCACAGACATGTGTTATCATATTAAATACATGTGGTTTACAATACTGATCCAACGGAAATGTCAAGTCCATTATTCAGTGAGCTGTTGCTGTCATGATTTGTACATTGAACCCTTGCTATTTGAGATAGAACCTAAACACCCAAATAGTTTCTAAAATTATTGCATTTAACTAACTTCTCCCAGCGTGAATAAAACTCGACCCAGAGGTCCACACTCGCACATCAAAGTTTAGGCCTGCACTGCTCTCCGCAAGAAACATAACTTACGTTATCTCTAACATGAAATGTATCAAGTACTGACAGTATTTTTTGGTATAAATAATTTACACGAACTTTTAAAGGTACAGGACAGCCTTTATATTTGTTCCATTCTCACGTGAAAGTAACTTGAAAATTCCGTTGAATTGAGTCACACAAGCACTTTGCCTGCACGCAAGGAAGTATCAGCAATCAAACATAGTACTGGAATATTTTCAAATGAGTAATTAGTATCGCTCACAACAATTCAACATTATAATTGGTATCTCTTTCATATATCACACATTTCCTTCGTTTTAAGGATACAAGTACAAATTTTGTGCGCACTTTTAAGCCCTTTCCGATAATTCATAAATTGCTTGATACAATCCTGAACTGCTAATTAATCCCGTAACATTAATTTAAAGTTTATGGCTATCTCTGTTGTAATAGTTAAGAAATATTTTACGAATATATCAGAGGCTAGGATAGAAAATAGTGCATTGTATTTGAGCAATAGTTGGCGAATATCGCCATACAGTACTTCGAAAAGCAGGAACTACAGGGTGAGTTTAAATTGTAACAGGTGTTGTTTGAACAGACAGTTTCTATCAATAATAACCAAAAAATGCAGCATCAAAAATTTTGCGAATTTAACCCTTGATGCCGGTTTAGAGAGTGACGAGATCACGTGGTTACAATTAACAGCACGTTTCCGCGATACTTTCGCTTTAATACTCACCCTGTGCGACCCACTTCACTTGCACTTGTCCTGCGGCCATTACCGACCGGATATTGGTAGACACGGATAGGAAATTATACAAAATGCACGACCACAGGCCGCATACCCGATTTCATTCTTGGGATATTGCATAATATCCCCCATTGATAGCAAAGGGAAGGAAATGGAGTAAAATCAGGACGGATGTGACGATGTCTTTGAGCAAATATATAATTAAATATCTATCTCGGAATTATTAATTCTCTTGTGAACCCCACAAGCCAAAATTAAATCTGAAAGTACAGTGTTGTTTTCCCCTTCAAGTTAGGAAGTTAAATTGTGTTCAACATAAAAATTATTTTCTGTTTTATCCAGCACCATCTTTGAAACGAATTGGAATATGAACTTACAAATATTTCATTCGAATACTTTGGTCTCTTAACGATGACTTAATTGTTCACAAGAATATTTGCAGAAGTATTTCCCTTTCTTTTAAATAAATAGTCATTAAATAGTATGAAAACACCCTACTAAAGTCAATAAGTTAAATAAATTATTTCCAAAAGAATAAGTTAATTTTTTTTTCCACACAAGAACTGAATATGTACATTCGGAAAAGACATTCATATAAATAGGTATAAAAATAGATCACTATAAATTGCCTTTGATAGTAAACACATTGCAGTTTTTGTCCTTTGAAACGACAGAGCCCTGTGTGTTAACCTGAACAGTGCGGCCGTCCATCAGTACCGGTTGCTGAGTACCCTGTAGTCCTGACGCACGTGCGGCAAGTAGGCGTGAAACTCCTGCAGGACCAGCAGAGTGCGCGTGTTCTGCTCGGCGGCGGTGACGTTCGCGTGAAACGCGGGGATGGACGATGGGACCCGGATGATGCTGGCCTCTTGTCCTAGCTGAATCATCTGTCAGAAAATAAAATCACACCGACACGTGTTCATGCGTGCGGAAGGTCTTCTGCAGACGAGATTGTGATTCGCAAAATTCGAGGATGTTTGGGGGCCTGTTATAGATGCCCAACTCTCGTATCATTTTGAGTTAGTTTCGACTTAAACTTTTCAAAGTAAACTTTATTACTTTTCAAAGTAAATGTAATCTGTAGTTGCAGCCAAAAATCTTTTCGAGAGAAAATAGCTGTTAAGGGAGAGCCTTAGGTGATGAGTTGCTTCTGAAGAAAAGCCCAAACGAGGGCCATGCACAATTATTGATATGGCGTCACGAACGCCACCTGAAGGAAGTATACTCTCTCCTCCAATAAAACTAAGAATGACCACTATAATTATTTCGTTGCATCCCTGACCCCGACTGGACCAGTTTACGGACACGAGTATCACGCATAATCAAGAGTTGGAAAGACCGTTGCAGTGACATACCGTGGTTTCCAGTCGGTCGATGACCAGACGTAACTTTTCGATGACCACGTCCACTCGTATCTCAATATCGTGCGTCTCGCTCTGCGACACTCTGTGCAGGGTGTCCCTGAAGAGGATGAGGGCGTTGTAGTGCAGAAGCACCAGCTCCGAATCCTGAAATGGACGAAGAATCGGGAAATCAGTTTTTAAAACTTTGATTCGTTGATTCTGCAATGAAACAAGTGTGTTTTTTCCGGGTTTACAAGGAAGGTTAACAGCGGAGACCCAGGCATCCATTTTGCACCGCGAGCACTGTGAAACCATTTTTTTTTTTTAGTTCACAATTTTTAGCAATTTTAATTGAGGGGAATGTTTGCTAGTATGGTACCCAGCGAATCACAGTTTGCGTGAGATCGTGGATTTGTAAAATGTAACAGGTGTTTGCAGTCTTGTGTATGCGTTTGTCGGGTATATTTTCAGATACTGGGTAGGATAAGTTGGGCATTGAGTACTTCCAGCTGTATTCTATTCATAAACTTTGGGCACAGTGGAAGAGAAAATAGATTGCCCGTATCTGCCTTAAATGTCCATTTCTGTTGTTGAAATTCAACGCTACGCCGCGCGTTCTGCATGACGATGTGATTAATGATGTGTGACTTCGAAAGTGAAACCCAACCTCACCGGTTTGATATTAGTTATTACATGAATTGAAGAGGTAACTTCCGAGTTGAAGATATCCTTATACATGTACCACCAAACAATAGGTTAACCTTCGAACATGCGAGGTGTACGGACGAATGCACTTTACATGACTGTGGTTAATTGTTGATCGGTCGCGATGACGTCGTTACTTGATAATAAAGTCCCAATTTACAAGCTTTGCCCACTTCAATCTTGCGTGCGAGGACAGCTTCTCTTTTCCATCAACAGCCGTTTTGAGTCGTTCTCATCAAAATCGGTCACTGAAGCATGCATTCATAGCCGAGTCTTATGGAATTGTTATTCCGGCTTAAAGTTAGCCTAATTTTCGAATAGGTTATTTGATTTGGCAAGTACCTCCTCGCAGACTCATCAACTGACGTCATTGCAGCCATAAAGCTTGGCAGATGTCACATAAAGAATGTCTGTTTGTAGTTGTCAGAGCAACGCCTTGTGTTTCGAGTGCGCGCCCTGTCTTTATATTGCAGGAAGAATGATACAGCGTTTTTGTCTGCGCAGCGGTCGACAGCTGAAACCCCGAAAGAATTAATCACTGGTAATTATGGGCTTTTCGGGTGACTTGCAAGTTTTTCCTTGGGATTGAAAAACTGAGTGGTGTTTCTGGCTTTATATTATTTTTTTTTCATTTAGATTTTATGGGGACTTCCCTTTTTTTTTGTCAGCATGGACATACCCGTCTCTGTGCTCGATTCGAGTCACTGTTTAAAATTATTTATCGCTTCAGACTAGGAACGAGGTCGTGACTTTTCGGCCCCGTTCATCATGTAGTGTTGAATGCCGATGACTTTGTTCAGAAAAAAAAAATTTTTGGAAACCTATTTTAAGGCATGTTCGCTGACAAACAAGGCTGAGAATGATTTGCCCGGTGAAGTCCACATATGTTCCACTAAATCTTTGCATGTGTCGCGAACTGATGTTCTAGGTTAGGTTTAAGTTTCACATTGCCGTAAAGATAGATACAATGGTCAGCGCTGTCACCGTACGTAAATTACACACACCTGCACAGATAGCACACTTACTCATTTAGCTCCTCTAAATATGTGCGGTCAATTTCTTTTAAGAAATTTAGCCGGGAACACAGAAATTACTTTAAAGGTGTTGTTTGATTTGTCCTTAGCTTTAACGGAGAAAAAATCAGAATACTTAAGAAAACCATAAACTTTAACAAACTCAATTTCAAACAACACGGCTTACCGACAGGGTCGACCTGATGATCTCGTGCGGCAGGTTATTGGCATTCGGCAGGTAGGTCAAGACCAACTCATGAACGAGTGGGTCGGGGTCATCGGCAAAGCGCTCCCTCTTCTGCAGACGGAAGAATGGAAATAGGGCTCACGATTAAACCATGCACTCAGTCACACAGCATGCTGGTTATGGAGCCAAGAGCACGCATGCACAAGAATTACACATTTGGCAGTTTCCCGTCAAATTGAAATTTCAAGTATGCCTTTGATATAAAACGGGCGTTGGTGGTTAGATATTTATTTTTCTTCATGCATGCAAGATACCGAAAGGAGATTTTTTTTTCTTTCTTTTTCTTTCATCGTGGTGCCTTTGGTACAAAGAGGGAAGTGAAAAGATGAACTCACGTAATGTGAATACAGTTCCCCGTGCTCTCTCAAGACTTCTGCAGCTTCGCTGTGAAGGTGAGCAAAATGCACCGCCAGGACGTCGGATTGAAATGCTTGGCGGGCAAGTCGACTGGGACGCGGCGAAGTGTACGGCGTCGTCGACGCACTCTCCGCCGTTCCGGTCGCGGCTACCGTGGGATCGGTGGGCAGGCCCGCCGTCGCGCCCGCCGACCTCCGTAACCTGGACAGAAAACTGGCGGGGACCGGCGACGCGCCGGCACCCATGCAGGCAACGCTCAGGAGAAGGACGGATAGCATCAGTGCAGCGTGCAGCTCCATAATATAAATCTTGCTTTGCTTGAATCTTTGAAGTCTTGCTAGAGCCAACTAGTCGAGTCGAAGTTTATTCTGATTGAGATGCAGGTGACCTACCCGTATTTATTGGCGCGCGGCATCCGCAACACGTGGGTAAGTTGTTTCGTTTTGATAACACATTTTTGGGGGTAAACCTTCCGCTAATTGTAGACCGATTACGCATCGGAGAAGCAGCCGGCTATGACCTTTCCGCGGAACCATTGTATGTGTTGTGTGCGCACTGAAGCTGCCAGCGTGCGTACAGTCACCCTGTGACGTCATTCATGGGATACCCAGAACTTCGGCACTGATACCTGTGGCGGGGAAATACCCCAAACAACATGTTCACAGCCGGTGCTGTCGAGCGTGGGAGCAAGTGAGCGCCTAAGTAAACACAGACTAACACAGATTTGACGGCGTCAGATGTGTGGAGCTTAATGTCATTTCAGGGAACACACCATCACAACCCACCTCCAGTCAAATTTGTGGGAAGTAAATAGTTTTATGTACTTGGTGACATACGTACACAGGAAAATCATTTTCAGTCTTTTTTTCCCCTAGTCATTTCTAATGCCCGTGTGTGTTAATGCGCTGTAAATGTACTTCCTTACAACGACTCGTTTGAAAATTATAAGTTATAATTGTGAAGAGTTTAGTCGCTGTATTGGAAGATGCATTAATTTGGGAAATGATCAATCGGTGTCAATCGTACATAGCTTTCTAAAAAGCAGAGATAAAGAGGGGAAACATACACGCATTTGGGTTTGTGTTTTAATAATACACACTATGCACTGATGTCATGTGTCTCTTTCGTTTATTAATTTGGTCGCAAAGGCTACCCATAATCAATTCCCGTTGCCGAAGTCGTTGTGTGGTTAATACTGGATTTTGTCTCCATTCACGCGAGACCGGGATTTGGCAACCGCGTTAGAGGCTGAAAGAAAGATAGAAAAACAACATCCACTCCAATGACACTGACGATAACAAAAAACCACCATCATTTGTGAATCGCGGTTGATGATTTACAGGGGAGGCGTTCCTCTTTCAATCTGTATAGCTGCAAGAATCCGGTCCGTGGTTTGAAGCATGAAGGTGAATTCCGTTCTCCCGGCGAAATACACCCGGGTTTCGTTGGGGGGAGACATTGGCCACATACCTCACCGATGAAGTCAAGCTTTTGGTCAGATCGAGCACTGTTTTTCACATTACTTTGTAATCGTTCTCCAATTGCGTTATAATTTGAAAATCACGGAAGACTTTAGGAAAAGGGGCATCATATATAACCAGTTTAAGTATTTTTTTAGCTGTGGATAGGGACTATATTGTAAGATGGGTACATCTCCATTTCGCACGGCCAATGTTTCATAAGAATTGTCGAACACATTCTAATCTGGAGAGTCGAATGGCCAGTTAAACTTTAATTGTCCCTGGCTTATACAAGAGCATGTGTGCTGATTGCTTCAACTATATGCTGCAGTAATGGAGAGCGCAGGGTTCTGATTTCTAGCGAGCGGCGCCGCAGAAGATCTCTCTTCTTCTGCTCTAGGTCACCGACGGGATTAGGTTTGCCAGTCACTCGTGCTTTCCACACAAGCGGCCTGCTCTTCGGTAGTCTTCGGTCATGGGGACTTCCAGGAAGGTCGGCTAGGGTCATCTTCCCCCCTCCCAACCTGTATTGTACACACTGTAACGATGTAACCTCTTTTCCTAACTTGTAGCACGGCAGGAGTCCTCCGGGTCATTGAACTAAATCAAACAAAGCTATCCTCGGTGTCATCATCACTGATGTGTGATGTACGCATGAAAGAAGTCGCCTACGTAGTGCTACTGGTCTATGCCGGCTATGGGCAGGTTTTGTTGACATGATAGATTCTTGAAGACCAAATTCAAAACGATCAGGGAAAAATCAGCCTTTGTGAGTTTGTAGAATGTCTCGACTCCAATACCGGTTAATTGGGTTTCTAATGCAGGTGTCCCATAGTTCAATGCGTCATTTGCGTGCTTCAATGTGAAATCGTTTCCATCGTTGCTAAACACTTTGTCCTCTGTCGTAAAAACCCACTGACGTACTACAAAAGTCCCTGCATGCCAATTTGAAAAGAAAGTAACCTGTGTTTTAAAGAAGTACGTGTATACTGATTTGCCACCCAGATTGCGACGTCATGACGGGAAAGTAATAGTTTAAAGCTTCCATTCATACACTCAAGGACAAGGGTCTATTGTTGCAGAAAGATGCTTAAGCGGCGTGCTGAAATGCGAAAGGATGCGCAGGCCTTGCGCCAGAGAGGTCTGCCTTGCCAAGAACAGTTGCCACGTTGAAGCAAAACTGCTAGTCGTCAGGCGTTTCCATTCTTTTCAAAGGGTGAAGCAGTACAGGACACCTACAGCAGTCCTGGTGACCTTGTGACTGAAAGATATGCACCATTTCTGTGCCTGTATATGTTGCCAAGTTAGACCGGAGAGCCCGTTCGGTTTGGGTGGCTGAAGCTTGCCAGTCCAGCCTCTTTTTCAACCGAACCATGCATACCGGGTAACCAGGTGATGGGATGACAGCGAAATATGTTGAAGTCACGTTAAAACTATACAAACTCAAGAAAAGAAAGAAGAAAGTACAAGGAAAAAAAAACAAGAAATGAGGGAAAATGTCATTACTATAAAGTTCTTCCTGGTATGCCTTGGGGCTATTTTGAGCAGACTCATCCGGTGTGATGTAATGGGCCACTTTACCGGACGTAGAAAAATAGGGCCGCCGACAACTTCCGGTGGGTCTTTTTTCGCAGACAGTTCCGAGTCCGAGCTGCGTAAGCACTTTATAGCGACAGACGCCACATTAATGTCACGCGCTTTGAAACCACCGGAAGTCGACAGTGGCAAGATTCCATCTACGAAAGACGGTTTCTTTGTGGGTCTTTTTTTGCGTTAAAGTTTAGATTTTGAATGGGGGGGGGAGTCGTCCCTTTCGATTTGTGCCGCTTTGCAAAATTCCATGTTGACATAAGGCACGTTTCCATTGTGTTCGTTTTGTGATGCGTTGTGTAGGCCCAGACGATGTGTTCATGCGTTTCTTTTTCACGGACACAAAAATCGACTCCATTAGTTTAACACACGTGTGCGCCCCGGGAGCAACCTCGACTCCATGGGCTGCGTGCGCTTTTCTTCACTATAGCCCCTGGTCATGTAGATACGAAAATGACGCTGACTGGCTATTCAGGATGATTATACATAAACGTTGAGTCAAGCACGCACGTATTTCAAAAGTTGCACGCTCGCGTCCAAGTATTCTCCTGTACGTCACGCACGCGTAAATCTTCATCACGCGTACACACACTGACTAAAGTCCTAATTTAAATATCCGAAATAGTGGGATATTTAAATTATACAATACCAGGGGTTAGATCGCGCAAGGCGTGGTAGGTACTAACATGGCGCGGCAAGATCGTACCCATTGGAACGAGGTTGCCCTGGGAGCGATGTTGACGGATGCGCAGCGCTGGCGCACGTGTTGACGCACACATGGAAAGGCGTCTTTAAGTCCTTCGTCCACAGGCTATAACCAGCACGTGAAACTGCCACCTTCTGAGGTGGTGTAATCCAAAACTGTGAGACACTCTGGCCCGGGTTCTGGCATACTGAGACAGGACGATGGGTCCGCAATGTCAGAATTTCATACATTATGCTTTGTTTTTTTTAGCGCCGGAAGGGTGAACAGTAACATGAGCATTCGCTGGTAACGGAAGCATTTCGTTCGCGATGAGTATAGCGCACACGACTCTGCATGGATTGTACGTACACCACCAGGCAAGAATGTTCGTTCGTTCGTTCGTTTGTTTGTTTAGTAGCCAGTACAACACAGAGAAAAGAAGGAAAGAAAAGAGCATTCAGCGAGCCAACGCCTGATTAGTGCGGTCGTGTATTGCAACAGAACCCTCCAGTAATAATGTATATAGGCCTGTATATTTTTGTTTTTTTCCGAGTATAAAATAGTATTGGCCAACGCGATAGGAGCTACAGTTCCGCTCCTGTATCATTGGCTTTGAACAGGTAAATATCGAAAGTCAGCCTGGACCTAGGCTAAGTTAGTTTTTTGTTGCATAAAAATGACCATATACACCCAAAACTGTTTACAGCATGGTGTGTCGTATTAAAATGAAACCAAGAGCCCGTTCTGCATTGTATCCCTTCATGGTTGGATGTTTACACCAATTTCTCTCTAATTTTCTAATTGATTGTAAGGTAGACCCCCCCCCAAAAAAAAAACTTGTCAGATAGTTGTGATGGGTTTGTGTTAACCTCTGGGGTGTTTGTGTTTCCTAGAAGTTGAAGCAGAGAAAGGCCTGACTTTTTGTCAGTTTGCAGTGTGTGTTTTCCTTTATGTCACAAACTTGTGTACGGTTGACATTCAGTTTAGAGAACACGCGTCCAGCTTTGCTTTCCCTTTTTTTTCGATAGGCTCAGCCCTCAGATGAAATACTCATTGTAGGCTACTTTGTGATGCTCTGTTGGAAACCCATGCCACCTGTAACAGTACTTGCTAAGTTCTTCCGTAACTTTGACTTTGAATTGCAGTTCGTCATAATAACAGTTTCGCAATTTTCTCCGCTCAAAAGTGAGCTGTAATTTCATCTCCTCGCAGTCCTCGGCGCGTGTGTACATTTTCACATTTCGATTTCGTTCTTTTACTGTGACATCTCAGCCTTGAAAAATACCGAGATTGCAAAATTAGGCTTTAACTTGTAAACTCCCCGTCGGTGGATTTTTTTCCCGATTTGTTCATGTTGCTGTTACGTCATGCATTCACAGCAGCGTACTAATTTGTCAAGTCATAGAGCAAGGTACCAATTAGCAACTCTCTGAAAGTTTTCTTTTGTCATTCTTGAAGCTGTAACTGAACAAGTAACAAACATAAATTCGTTGTACAAGAGTGACCTGTCATTAAAATCCCCGCCAAAATATATACTTAGACAACCCCGTCAGTGGATTTGATTGCCACAGTCGCGTCATAAAGAAATTGGGGGGGGGCATTCAGTAAAAACATGTTTCTTTTGGGGGGGGTCTTTCCCCTGGAAAAAAAAAGATGATGCATACACCCCTTTGTTGGGAGATTTTGGTTGTGTGCCCGATAATCGTGTGGGTGTCTTTTGTGCTCTTTGTGTTGGCCGCTCATCTATAACGTACATGTACCATTTGAAGCAAGATATGGGACGGAGAGAACCCCCCC